CTGAAAGCAAAAGGCAAAAAAGCAAAAGAAAAACTTAAGGAAGAAGGGAAGCGTCCTCTCAAGTCTCAACTCTGATTTAGTGGAAGGCAGACGCAATGCGCAATGATTTTATTCCTTTGTCTGTGACTCTTATTTTGGATAACTTGGCGGTGGTTTGGTAGTGATTAATAACTGATAAGAATAAGAAAAGGGAGAATGACATAATAATTCAACTGAGGTCTTAATTGTTAAACTTTAAAAATTTATAAATTTAATTTTTAATTTTATAATTTTATTATGATGAATTTGTAATTTATATTTTAAATTTTAATATAAAAAAATTATATTAAAATTTAAAAATAAATTATAAATTTATTATAATAAAATTATAAAAGTATAAGCCAAACTTGTTAATATATGAAGTTTGAAATTTAAAACTTAAGTTAAATTAATTAATTCTTTTAAAACCTTTCCATCATTTTTCAAATAAGAAAAGGATAGCGTGGAAGTTAATGAATTACTGTTTTTCACTGGAAATTGTAACTTTTTATATGGTTTCCCAACTTTCTCATTTACCTGCCCTCGTGTACTTGTTATAATGTTCTCCACCTTTTCAAATTATAAAATATCCTTCAAAAATCACCACGTCTCAAAATATAAAACTATTTAAAAAATTAAAATTTTATTAAATGTTTTTTTAATGTTATTATTATTTAATTTTCATTCTTTTTTATTTTCAATATATTAAATAACATGTATTTTTAAAAATTTATATTTATATTTTAAAAAAATAGGTTTGTTATGTAACTGTAGTCAGACTGTTTATGATTAAAGTATTATATTAAAAAATTATATATTAAATATTATCTATATATTTATAATAAAAGTATAATAAGCCTCTCTTCATGAATGATATATGTCTTAGTTTTTCAAATACTTTCATTTCGTGAAATTATATAGGATTAGTTTAAGAAATTAATTTTAATGTATACTCTTATTTTATTTCTCATTTACTTATTAATCCTTACTCCCATTATCTCCATTATCATAATTATAACTTCTATTATCTTAACTCACCTATTAATTCCTTTATTTGTTTCTTAACTTTTCTCTCTCATTATTTTTGTTATCCTAACTTCCATATCACTTTATCTCATTATAAAATTTTAAATTACTAATACAAAAATTCAATATTAACTCATCTTTATTTTTATTAAAATACACAAAAAGAAACTATCCATTATATGAACAAGTTTGAATTAGTTTTAAATATGAATTTCTAAATCATAAATAACTTCCATATGCTATGATCTCTATTCTTTAATATCATTACTCTTTTATTCTGTGGATTTCAAAATTTGTAATGTATCATATTTTAAAATTATTTAAATTTAAATCAATTTATTTAGTTAGTATAATATATTTTCTCATTCTAATAACAACCGTTTGATAACTATTAATTCTATTAATTTAAATATTTTAAATTTATAATATTTAGATTTAAATGCAATTTTTTTGAGTCATGAATAACTTTTTTATGGCATGATCTCTATTATCTAATATCATATCATCTTCTCTTTATTTTTGTATTTCAAAATTTGTGATGTATCATATTTTATAATTATTTACATTTAAATTAATTTATTTAATAATTAGTAGAATGGATTTTCTTATTCTAATTAATACCCCTTAATTTAATTTCCCCCAAATTTGTAGGTCCATGTTTTTGCATGTTGCTTTCCATGTTAACCTCCTTATGTTGTTTTAACTTCCTCCATGATCTCTCAATTTGCAATATATATCCCCTCAATGCCTCCCTCAACTATTCCCCTCCAAACAGGAGAAGCCTCCTTGTTTTGCTCCATCTTTACCTAGAAAAATTACAAGGCATTAAGATAGCAGCCACGTGAAGATGATTGCATGAACATGAAGAGATTATACACCAAATGAAAAACATTCCATTGATTTTCAACCTCTTTTTGTCATATATTTCAGTTATTCTTTTCTATGATTTATATATTGATTATCTCTTGAGCTCTTTGTTGTCTATATGATATATGCATTGTCTTATGTTAATCTGTAACCGTTATCATATTTGATGGGAATAAAAATTTCCTTGCAAATCTTTTGATATTCTAATTCTACTTGCTTTAGAATTATTGGGTTTGTCACTCTTTTCTCTTTTATTGGATTTTTTTAACTAAGTTTGGGAGCATGACCACTTCAACGGAAGACAATTTTTAGTTCTTAGTTGGTGTTGGATTTTTCACATTTTGTAATTAAGATAAATGAATATATTATTTGCTAAAGAAAAATGTTTAATTTTTTTTTTCTGGTTTATGAATCTTTATATATGTTCTGTCATGCTTGATAAAATATTTTCATTATATTTTAGTTTCATTCTATGGTCTTTAGTACACTCTGCGTGTTTGTGTGTGTGTGTGTGTGTGTTTTTTTTTTTTTACTTGAATTATATTTATGCTTTGAAATTATATAGAAATTACGAGCATGTTTTCTTTCTATTTTTAAAATGTTTTTATTTTTGAAAATAGAAAAATTTTAAAACTTGTTTGGATAAGCATTTTTCATTTAATTATTGTTAAAATTGTTTTCATTTTTTGTTTTTAAGAAAAAAATTAGAAACAGCTTCAAGTTGTTTTCATTTTATTTTTTATTTTTTAAAATACATTACATTTAATTATTAAAAATTATATCTTGACCAATTTTTATTGTTAATCAACGCCATTAACTGCTTATAATTATCACTATTAGTCAATTTTTAATTTAAAAAATATTTTTTAATGAACAAAACCAAATGGATTCTCATTTTATTTTTTTTGAAAAATAATTTTAAAAATTATATTGTAAAATAGTTTTTGAAAACAATAAATAAGAATAGAAACTAAAAACGCCCTACATCTTCAAAGTTTTTTTTTTTTATCTTAATTTCCTCTTTTCCTCATTCCTCACCTATTGTCCCTACCATTTTCTTATCATCCTAACTTTCAATGATCATAATCTCATTTTTGGAAGTTAAAAATTGACTTGGACGGTGATAATTTGATAGTTGCACGATATTAAGAAGGGATTAAGATGCAAAAATTCACTTTCCACGACACTACCATTTGGGGTTGAGGCCATTTAATTAATTCTTAAAAAATATTAAATTGTATTTTATCATTTCACATATTAATAATAACTAATTAACTATGACTTATACTAAAAAATTACTTTCACATATCTTGTGCATCGCATAGGATACTTACTATTGATAAGTAATATCTTAAAAATATTATTTTATGAGATTAAATTCATAAAATGAAATTTTATAAATTTTTACTCTTTTTTAATGAAATATACCATTTTATTAGTGAATAATATTTATAATAAATATTTAAAAAGAATTGCTGTCTATTAATAATGATTAAAAAATTATTGCAAGATAAAAGAAATTGAAAGCTAAGAGGGAAAATTTATTCAATATTCATGAATAAATATCAATTACATAAAAAAATGACAAACTATTTGTTATTTTTTGAGACTTATTAAAACTAATTGAAAATATAAACTTTATATACAAATATAGATAAATAATTAGAAATAAAAATATAAAATTAAAGATTTGTGTTTATATTACAAAAATAGTTTAAGGATTAAGTAAAATGAATTAATAAATATTAATTAATGAGAATAAAGAGGGGGAAATAGGAATTGGAGTGGGCATTGTCTCTATTAGAGTCATGGGGTGTGTTTACAAAAAGAACATGAGAACTGAGTTATATGTTGGCGAAATTTATAACTCTTGGTCCAATTATGTAGTAAAGAGGACATAATACTAATAATATATTGACAAACAATCCTTGTACATGTGGATTTTGTTTATAATTTAAAAAACAATTAATGTTGAAGATTCCTCTGGGAAGAAATGCGATGATAATTGTTGACCTTTTTCCAAGCATAATTTTTTGATTGGTTCATAAATTAAAAAATGGAACAACCAGTTATCACAACTCAAAAGACGATTCCCCAACAAAAAGATTCATTTCCCACCATGATGTATGACGCGTTAGGTGTCGGTGCTTATCTAGTGGTGCTCATCGCTTTATGAGACGAGCATCATTTTAAAATGTTACTTTTAATATTTTTAGTTTATATTTATTATAAAAAAATATAAAATTTTAATAAATTTATCTTATCATTAATTTAAATAATATAAATTTAATCTGAATGATTCAATTTGATATTATATTTTTTTATAATTTTTATAAATTAACTATCTAAATATATTATGGGTTGTTTGGATTTAATAATAAGCTTTTTCAGAATTTTTATTAATTTTTATTTTAGTAAATATAATATTAGAAAAGAAAAATTAGTCTTTTAATCCTTTAACTTTTAACTTACTTGTAACTTAATTTCTTAACTATGATTTACTGCAACTTAATCCCTAAATTTTGACTCACTTATAACTTAATCCTTATTTTACAATTTTTTCAAAAATTATATTTATCAAATTAGAGGGATAAAAGAAATCTTCATATTTTATTTCAAAATACAATCTTTTTACTCTTTGATGTGGGATTTAAGTAACTTAGAAAAAGAGAATTAACAAAAGTTGAGGGATGGAGTTTTAGCCAAGTCAAAAGTTGAGGGATTAAGTCACAGTGAGTCATAGTTGAGAGATTGGGTTACATGTGAGTTAAAAGTTGACGGATTAAAAAAATTAATTTTCTTTATTAAAAAAATAAAAAATAAAGATAATCTTCAAATTTACACTTTACAAAATTAAAAAAACGTTACAACTTAAAAATTTTAAATGCAACTATTCAAAATATATTTGAATAGTTAATTTATAAAAAATAATAAAAATATGTAATATTAAATTAAATTATTCAGATTAATTTTAGATTGTATATATTGGTGGTATAATAAATTTAATAATATTTAATATAAAAAATAGAATCTATAAAGGTGCAGAGGTTGCTCGTCAAACCGGACTCAATATATGACTACCCGATGACTTAGAAAGCACAAAATCTTGACTTTAGCTTCATCTTTGGGGTCTGGTTGACGGAAAGCTTCTTACACACGCAATGGCGAGAGCACAGGCGCTGGGTTTGAGCGTTGAAGAAGAACCATCAGAAGAAAAATGGATGAAATATTATTCTTCCCATCATCGAATACTTTTGGTAGGAGAGGGTGATTTCTCCTTCTCCCTTTGCTTAGCTCAATCCTTTGGTTCTGCTGTCAACATCATTGCTTCTTCCCTCGACACTTATGGTCTTCTCTCTTCCTCTGCTCTTACCTTTACGTTTGTGTGTGTTTCTTCTTCTTCTTCTTAATTCTTCTTCTTCATCATCAGTTTTTTGCCCTTCATCATGAAAGGTATTATCTTAAATACTGGTTGTTCATCTAAGTGAGTTGGATTCCTGTTCGCTTGTTCTTTTCTAAGCTTTGAAACGAAGTCAATCTATGCTCTGCGATTTCGCTAAAGGGATCATAGATAATCGGTACTTAACTCCATGCAAATAAGGAATTTTGACATTTGATTTTTTTTTCCCCGTCGTTTGTATATTGCATACCCTACAAAGAGAAGTCAAGCAACTAATCTCTACTTGCTTCTTCAGCTCTTTCAAAAAGGTATATCTAGTTTTCTGATTCTCCATGATATGTGGCAAGTAATTTATATGCTATTCTTCCATTTTCCTATGAACCTAGAGTCACTGCTCCTCCTATTAATGTCTTAGACTTCATTTTAACTCAATTAATTAATTTCAAAAGCAATTTTTTTAATCAAGAGTTTTGATAGTTATTAGGGTCTTTCAATCTGCTAAGAATCATCTTTTGAATTAATTATGTTATTTTTAACACAATTATTTAATAAGCAACTTAACCTAAGAACACTCTACAATGATTATATGGGAAAATTAGGTATATGTTTATCCTAATTATAAATTAGATAAAATCTAATTCCACATTATTTAATTCAATGGTCTAGAAAAGATTTCTCTTTGGCAAGGAAGAATCCCAACACCCAAAACCACATTTAAGGGTGGCCAAGCATCAAATAGGCATTAAAGCACAAGATTGAGCAACTAAAATTAACATTAAGTATAACTAATAAGTAAAAAATGAGTCTAATCCATCAATAGGTTCATAGTTCCTTTAGGTTTAAGAGATTCAACCACACATAAATCTAAAAATTGCAAAATTAAATAGAGAATACATCAAAACCAAGAAGAAAAGAAGAAGAAAAGCTTAATTGGAGTGATTTTGGACAAAGATCACTAATATTTCATGAAACCCAAGCTTCTGCACCTCATCCATGGTGTTTTTCCCTCTTCCTTAGTCAGTTTGGAACTGTTGGAGACAAGCCAAGATGAAGAATGCCAAGAAAAAAACGTTTAGATCTCTAAAAATATTAATTTTTCATGAAGTTGTGTGTTTCAGTAATTGACAATTATGCTGCGTGGCATAATCAGGTTATGCTACGACATAAATCCCACCATCACTACTATTGTCACCGAATTATGCTGCAGTGTAATTCCAATATGCGGTAGCATAAATCTTGCGTTTTATTCATCTTCAATCTTTACTTATATATAGCCCTTTTGAGTCTTAATTTGGATTACTCTACACACAATATAACATTATTAATGAAAGCTTAGTTCAAGTAATCCATTCATTTCAACAAGGTATTACCAATTCTCCCTTCTCATATTCAAAAGAAATTTTCTTTCATTTTCTCAAATAATAGTCTCATTTTCACTATAAATTATTTAAATGACTCCAAATTGAATCTAAAATTTTCTAAAAATGCATCAGAATTTTCTAAAAATGCATAAAAATATTTGGAGTCATCACCATCTCATAGATTTTGTTCTTTGAATGAACAGTTATTACTTTTGTGCATGTTATTTAATTTGTTGCTTTTAGTACAGTTGTGAATATTGGTTATGTCATTGATTGCTTTCCCTGTTCATCAAGATCAACTTTTGAGGAAGTACGAGAAAGCCGTGTCAAATGTACTTGCCTTAACAAGGCTGGGAGCAATGGTGTTGCACGGAGTTGATGCAACCGAAATGAAATCCCATGATGACTTGAAAATGAAGAAATTTGATAGAATTATATTCAATTTCCCTCATGCAGGCTTTCATGGCAAAGAAGACAGCTTCTCCCTGATTCAGTGAGTTCCCCGTTAGAATTCATTTTACTTTTGTCTAACATTTTAATATATGTATGTATGTATGTATGTATTATGAATATGCTAATATATGATTAGACACTTTTCCTCCATGTTACACGGTTTCTATAAATGAGTTGCATCATATTTACATGGGCTTGTGAAAATTTGACTTGTAAAGGTGTCATTGTATATTTTGATTTTGATGTGAGAAAAGTCTTTTGTAATTTTACAATTATACTTTTAAGCTTTTAGACCATAAATATATAATAGAAATGAAAAGATTCGCAGCCTTTCCAAAAGATTTCACTTGACAATTATTGGCGTTCAAAATTATGATTTTCAGTCTAAGCTGTTGTCTGGTCTGGTATATGAACCATTTAATTTCCCTGGCATGTGGTGACTTATGTATAAGAAGGTTGCTACAGTAAATATGAAATTTCTGTAAGTATATATGTGGCAGATGTCCGAAATAATATTAGAATGGCATTTTTTAAATATACGTAAAGTTTTAATTTTTCATGAATTATTTTCAAAAGTCTCAGAAGATTAGGATACTCATCTAGTGTTTTAATATATTATATGTGCAAATGTCAACCAAATGTCCAAAGGTAAAATTTACCTTTTTTCAAAGGGAAGAAGCGAATATCATATCGGCATCTATTGACCATGTTAAAAAATGAGAACAATAATTTTTTAGCGAATCCAAAACCCTGTTAGGGGGGAACAAAAGGGTAAACTAATTAGAATTGAAACTAGTGGGAGGAAAATATTAAAACTAGTGAGGTTGTAAAAGATAAGTTTTACATGCCGCATGTAATTTTGCAAAAACAATAGGGCTGTGGGGCCCAGTTCCCGCACTCACCAGCTTGCAGGTTCATAATGTAAATTGATTACTTTAATTCATAAGCTTCAGTACTTCCACTAGAAAACAATGCATGTATGAGGGTATTTAAGTCATTTCATCTTGATCTTGTATTTACTGCATTGTAAGGAAATGATTTCCATGCTATCGCATTGATAATTTCTTCATAAAGAAAAGACCTAATTACGTCTATGTTGTGTATCAAAAGAAAAGCAAGGACTTTTTGGTCAACACATATTATGAATATTACCGGGGAGAATTATATATAAATTTCATGTAAAGAAATTAATTACTACAAGATTTATTAATAATTGAACTAAGATCATTGACAACGCTGTATTATCAATAGCTTTAATTCAATTGTTTAATAAAGTTTGCAATAATTAATTTTTTTTACGTGAAACTTTATCGTAATTCTCTCATATTACTAACCTTAGAAGTTGGCATTTGATGTTTGTATTTTATTTGTAATACATGTTCATATTTAAGTCTCTATTCTCTCTCTATGCACACTTGTCTGGTTTCAGTTGTCTTGGTTTGGATATAATTAGATGTAGTTTAAGGAATTAGTTGAACTATCCATAACAATTGTGAATGTTGATTGGCATATTCTTATATTGTTTAAAATGACATTATAAGTAAATTATTATTATGAACTCCCCTTCCATTAGTGCATGTGAAGGCTATGAGCATCCATTTTCTGGCATTTCTAGGGAACACAAGAACCTTGTACGTGGGTTTTTTATGAATGCGAGGAGCATGCTTAGACCTGATGGTGAAATTCACGTAAATCACAAGACCACACCACCATATCATTATTGGTGCATAAGGGAACTTGGGATACAAAGCTTTCTGTGTCTAATAGAGTGTGTTGTTTTCAAAAAAGAAGATTATCCCGGTTATAACAACAAGCGAGGTGATGGGTCCAGGTCTGATGAGCCTTTCTCTTTGGGTAAGTGTAGCACATTCAAGTTCAAGTTGTTAATGAAGGAGGAACCCATCCCCAGAGATCATCATGGCCCACATCAACAGAGGTCGGGTATCCAAAAACAGAATGTTAGAAATATGGATATGATACTGGGGAGACAAATTTCTGGTCCAATTCATGTTAGCAAAATCTGTTTTGATCCTGTTCATGTTCGTGAAGTCTGTTCGACATCAAGAGAGTTTAGGTATCCACAAAAAGTACATGTTGGAATGTGTTCTGATCTTGTTCATGTTTCTCAAATCTTTTCTAACTTGAAGCTATCAGCTGCATGGCCTAAATTAACAAAGTTTAGGTATCCACAAAATAGAACATATTAGAAATATGGATATGATATTGGGAAGATCTGTTTCTGAACATGTTTGTGGAATCAGTTCTGATTTGTAGAGACAATCATGGCCTGGATCCAGTAATGTTAGGTATCTTTCGAGTGATCATTTTAGGGATGGACATGAAATCCTTAGGTCTTACCATCTCAATTGCTTCAAGAGTTGGAAATGAAGCCTTTTAATTTCAAGTTCTCTTTGCTAAACTTCTGTTTCATGGCCGCCATTGGTACGTGGTCTTTTTTTTTTTTTGGAGCATGGCATTTAAGGCCCTTTAAAAAAAATATGGCAATAAAGACCCATTACTTTTGTATCAAATATTGTCTTGTAAAAATGTATATATGTTATTAAAAGTTGAATCTCAACTTGTATTTTCTGTTAGGGTTTTCTTAATTTTAACATGTTAAAATTTAACTTTTAATAATATATACGTGTTTATATAAGATAATATTCAAAGCAAAATTGATAGGCCTTTATTGTGATAAATACCTTTGAAAGGGCCTTAAATGTCATGCTCACTTTTTTCTTAGGAAAAATTGCATCCTAGGAGTTGCAAATAATATTATTCATATAACTAATATGAAATAGTTTGTTATTAAAATAAAAATATGAACCTTCTTTTTATTGAATGATAATTTGTTATTGACCCTTGCATGCGAATAACATTTTTTATAAGTTTTTTGAATGCAATTTTCTTGCCCCCAGCTTCTTTTGTTGCCCTATAGCTAATAGCTTCATGTTTGAAATATTATAGTTTGATGTTAGCTTATATCTCTAAAGTACTTGTGTGGAATGAAGCTGAAGAATTAAAGGGTGATGTAGACATTTTTTTTTTTTTGGGGACTCACCTGAACTGAATGTGAGTCTTAGGATCTGGAGTTAGGTAGTGTGAGATAATTTAATCAAAAGGTTAATATTTTTTAAAATAATAATTTAATAATTAATAATAATAATAATTACACTATAATTAAAATAGTAATAATATAAATAGATTGGTCATCATTTTTATTTTTAAAAAAATTTATTGAACAGGTATTTATGTTCTTTTATTGTAAGTATAATCTTTATATCTTATTTACATCAATAAAATATTATATATTTAATAAGTTTTTTAGTACAAATATTTTTATTTAATCCAAAAGGTATAAAATATCAAAAGTAGGGCATAACATTTTCCTTATCATCCCTATGCTAAGCCAAAACCTCCACAGTAAATATGAATTAAATCATATGATTACTGAACCATAGTTGTAGACTTTAATCAGTTATTAAAGGACTAGTCATAGTAGGAAGGAAAAGACAAATCAAAGGTCTGCTATAGTTTAAAAAGTTTTAAAACACATATTAGAATATTCACTTCATAGTACAACAACAACTTCATTTAAAAATATAAATTTTTAAACGTTGAGATCTTAAGTTTAATAACTTAAACTTTAAAATAAAAAATAAACTAATTTAAACTAGAGTAAAAACATATATGAAAGTGTGAAAATCATACGACATAAGGTAACAAATCAATTTAGGGTTAAAAGAGCTAAAAACAGTATTTCTAGCACAATACAGCATGACATAATGTAAATGCATTGTGGCATAAGGCACATCAAGCAAACTTAAGTGAAATTTGGAATTACACCACAACGTAACATTTTATGCTACGGTGTAAAATGCAAAACCCATGTTGGTATGGTAGGTTGTCTTGCCAAACTTTTGAAGCACCTCAAATCTTCATCCAACATTCAATTGAGATGATCTAAGTATTCATATAAAGCTTTTTTAAAACTCTAACTAATGGTACTAGTTTCATTTTCAAACTCTAACCCAATTATAAATTAGACACCCAAATACAAACTAACATATTTTCACCCTTAAACCACAGGCTGACTATCTAAAATTCACACCAAGTTTCAAAAGTACAACTCAATACCTAGACCACACTCAATAGATTTAAGATAATCTATATGTAACATGCCACAGTAATTAGATATCACATATTTTAAAAATTCAACCCTCAACCGCAAACTCATCAAAAGCAAGGAAGGAGGAATTTTAACATCAAAACTCACAATATTCAATTACAATCATATTAAATTCAAAAGTCATATGTATACCAATATTTTGGATCCTGTCCAAACTTATCAAATCACAACAAACCATTCTAAGGTCCAAAATATAACCAATCAATATAGACAATTAAATGGTATAAGAAATATCAAAATATGCATTTTCTCAACAAGCATTATCAAATCAATTACACACACACAGATATATATATATATATATATATATAAACCAAAATAAAGGCCTACATTAGGAAACAAGGTTCTTAAGAGTGCATTTAAGAGTTTATAATTGAATGATAAGGAACGGTCATTAATGAAATGGAATGAATTGGAGTGGAATAGAATAAAATTTTCTATTATTTGGGAGTTTTGTGATGGAAAGGAATGATTTTACATGACCATTATTTAAAAGTTATTATAAAATAAATGGAACAGAATAATTTAAAACTTTTTTCTTCCAATATTACTCATATGACTAAATTTAAAGAAATTAATAATGCCTATTAAATAATTATAATATTTATCCAATAAAAAATAATAATAATAATTGAAATTAATGGTTAAACAAGATACTCAAGAATTAAAAATAAAAAGGGAAAGCAAGTAATATGGCTATTTAAGCAAACATTCATGTTACATAAGAGGAAAATACAACAAAGTCATAGTGTTGAAAGGCATGACAAAAAGAGATGGCAAGAACAAGAGAGATATGTCATGAGACAGGGCTATACATTATGCCTGAATGCCTGATCATTCTAGCCTTGCCCAAAGCATTAGGGCATATGGGGCTAGACATCGACAAGGGTCAAACCTTTCCTTATCGGAACATGTGCAAGTTTTTTCTTTAATTTTTTTGTGAATAATATTTTTCTTATGAAATTATTTTTTATTAAAAATTATCATGAATTATATGATTTTTATGATCTTTTAGATATTTTTATCATTAAAATTTTTTAAATCTCTTTCAAAATTTAAAATTTATTTTTTTAACTTATTATTATGTAAAAAGAATTGGCAATTGCTATTCATTTAAACTTTTAAAAAGTTACTTTTTATTCTAATATTAGTTTTATAATGAATATATTTTAAATAATAATAATAATTTTTTCAAGAAAAACTTTTTTATATATACTTTTCAAAAATACTTGTAAAAATATTTTTGGGCTAATCGGACTAACTTGGTGCCTAAGTGCAGATTGGGTTGGGCACCAAGTTGGGGTGATACCTGGCCCTACCCTATCCATGTGTAACCCTAGCAGGAGGTAAGGGAGATGACTGGAGAATGAAAATCTCAGATGAGATTTTTTTTATTAGAATAAAAGGTTAGGGATAATTTTGTTAATAAAATAATTATACTGTGCCACTCCATCTTTGACCCCCAATTTAGTAGGATAAAAAATATTGAGCTATGGATAGCCTTAAAAGCCTTTCCTTTCTATTCCATCCCTCTTTTTTAAAAAAAGAAACACTTACAAACAATGGCTTATATATTTTAGCCATCATACTCCATTTCATTACCCTCTAAAAATATCTCCCAAACATAGTGTAAGTCTTTGGTGCTTTCCTTTTGTTTTGACGTGAGTTAGCGCATGTAAAATGTTAAATGAGAGATGAGTACAACTACTCAATAACCAAGGTACATTAAACATATACTAATGCATATTAATTAATCATAGCAATGCAATGGCATATTCAAATGAAACATATTCACATATTAAACCACACAATTCATATAGTTACAAAACTAGCAATCATGTAACAATAGATTATTTAGCGTATAAGGGTTACAACACTAACAACCATATACCCTTTATAAAACATTCAAGACCACAAAAATAACTACTATGCAACCATATAATGATATGCATAATCAATGCCAACTTTATACCATCCTAATACCTCGGACATTAAAATGGTGGCTATTTAGTGAGATTCATCATTATCATCAAACTTTCCAAGCCTTTCACTTATAAGGAGCTACCCAACTAAAACTACTATACTTACTTATGACTCATGGTTTTCACTAATACTAACAACCATGAGGTGTCATATTCTTAAACTAGCCTCCTCATGAACCGGTGAAAACTAGTTAGGATTGAGTTCCTCAAAGAACAAGTTGAACAATCCTTATACAATAATGAGACAATGACTACCTCCTGATTTTAATGGTTGGCAGTTTGGTAGCTTCTAATTTCAACAATAAGCCATCAATACCACATGGATTTATCACTGCTCCTCTCATTAGCAAACCCCCACCATAAATAATCAAGCCATGCATATAATAATCATAATCATCATTAGCATGCAATCTATCATCATTATGTTCATCATAACACAATCATTTCATTTACAAGTGCACTCACATTTTTTTACAATATCTCAAATTATAATATATGATTTTCAAATATTTCATGCTACACTTACATAAAAACACATTCACATATCTTGACAATAGTTTATAAAAACCAAGTAACTAATTAACACACAAAAATAAAAATAAAATTTTTCTCAATTACCTTAAACCTTTGAGAGATCAAAGGTTATCCCTCGATAACAACTTATTTTTCAAATTCAAGCTCACCGATTTCTCCTAAAAATATTAAATAATTTAAATTTAAATATCTGTTATTCCCATTTCATCATTTTAGCTGGCTATAAATTTCACAAACCTAAAAAAAATAAAAATAAAACCATACCAAAATTGATGAAGCAACTAAAGATAATGGAGAAGGCTCAAGTAGAAGTTAGAAATATCTACAAAGAAAAAAAGTTTTTAAGTGAAAGTGACACTAACCTAATACTGCTCGCTTAGGGAAAAGAGGAGGAGAAATTGTGGATTTCGACTGTAGGCCTCGGAGCTGTCCGTTGAATGGGGGAAAGAGGAGGAGACGAGGAGAAGAGAGAGTTGTCTATTGAATGCTCACCGTTGATGCTAGCCTTAGGTCTCTATTTAGTCTGTCAGCTGTAGATCTCAATACTGTGGGTCTTGATGTAGTGAAAGGGAGAAGAGAGAGTTGTTGTGTGGATGAGAGGAGAGATTTGCAGTGGGGAGGAGAAGAGAGACATGCTGTCGTTAAAGGGAAAGAAGGAAAGGAGTTAGGTTTCAAAATATAAAATGATAGAATGAGGAAGGAGCTTAATCTGATTTGAAAAAGATGACTGAAATTCATGTCCCTTTTTTAAAAAAGCGACATGAAAAATGTCCAAAAATTAATAATTTAAAATAATTTATTTTCTACAATCTACATTGCTTTTATAAAAAAGTTACGTGAAAAATATCCAAAAATTAATAATTTAAAATAATTTATTTTTTACA